GTTTATTTTCACTGAAAGGTATATTAGCTGGATTTTATTTTCACTGTGGACCATCTCTTCAGCGAAAAATAATTTAAAGAGAAAATGGTACATTATACAATTATTTTTCTTTACCTATCCCATATATGAGTGTGTAGATTATTTATTGCTTACGTCTAATCAATTTGAGCAGGAAGACTCAATGGATTCCCTCAGCATACCTTGCCCTCGCAATAATAATAATAATAATAATAATAATAATAATAATAATAATAATAATAATAATAATAATAATAATAATAATAATAATATTACATCTTCCGCAAGCTTTTATTATTGGAAAACAGACGGATATATTTCGTAACTTTTTCTTAATGAATAGAGATTCGTGGAAACAATGTTTGAGAAAACGTTTTTTTAATTATGTGTTAATTTAATTAAGTGACATTTATTGCAGCTTGCTAACCTTTTCACTCAATAGGTTCCCAATGTTATGAACTTCAACAAAATTACATTCAAGTTGTAAATAACATTGCCTGCTGCATTTATTTTCGATAATCGACACAACATTTGAAAGAACATTTATAATTTCGAGACAATCGCTCGTAGACAATCGCTCGTAGACTGTAATTTGAACGCGAATACAAATTCTAATTCTGAGACTTTGATATTAATTTATTTTCAATGTAATGATAATTGCAGATAATAAGAAGAAGAAGAAAAAGAGGAAGAAAAAATAAGATATTATAAAAGTGGGTGATAGTTGTGTAACAGCGAATCGAGTCTAGCATCTCGGTTTCAATTATCGATATTGGTAAGTTGCGTGCGGGCTACTTCTCTGGAATATAACGAAACGAAATAATAAATTGGAAGAATTGACTCATAAAATATTATTTTAATATGTGCGTGAGAAATTCAAACAAACTACAAGTAGACATTTATTTGATTTATTAATGGGTTTCTGTTTGAGTCATTTGTCTTGCGAAACCACTGTGTAAGGCTCCTGGATCCCGTGTTACTTATAAGTGTAGGTCATGGGATGACATAAACAGTGGACTTCTTTCTGTTTCTCACTTCGTGTGTTCACGAGACACCCCGTCGCACAATCCGCTAAGCAAACAATGTTACAACCCATGCCCGCCTATGTTATCTCATATCAAATTTAAAGTTGAACACAGAATCTGTACATGATGCAACACAGTCTTAATTGAGGATGAATTCCATTATGTTATGAAATGCCCACAACATATTACAATCAGAAGCAAATTGTTTGACTCAATTAGAAATAAAACTGTTAATTTCAATTTGATGGACGAAAAGTCAAAATTTAAATACATTATGGGCAACACTTTCTCATTAATACAGCTCGGCATTTTTAAAAAAAAAATACGGTAATGTGTTACAGTAATTATTACTGTCATGTCTATTACAAAATATGTATACGTTGTCAAAGTTACATGGACAGAAACTTACAGAGTTTGTGTGTCCCCCTAAATCCAAGCGTTCTGAATATGTATACAATAGTTCACAGTCCCTCTATGATAGAGGGACTGGGAATAGTTCTTCTATAGAGGGACTGTGCCTAGTTAAATCTGGATTTCACATTGATCCTCTTCAAGTTTCGTCAATTTTTCACAAAATGTCCACCATTTTGGAATATAAAACTACTGTATGTGGGAACGGAGACTAATATTGAAACATGCCTGGTGCAATTTGGCTATTTGGTGCAATCCATTAGCCACCAAGT